ACTGTGTTCAGTTTTGAGAGGAGCTTACCGTACATATATAGGCACATTATCGGTTTCCAGCGTCCAAGGTGGGTTATACCGCACTTGTCTGGGTTGAAAGTCAGTTGCCACTTTTCGCTCCAATCGCCTAGATCATTTAATTCCTCCATGATATCAGATACCATAAATCTGGGTATGGCTGGTGTAAACAGTGTAGAATTGTCAACGGAGCTGAGGCCTTCAGATGGCTGACTACTATTAGATCTCAGTCTCTTAACGGTACTTACACGTTTGATAGACTTAACCATTACAGAAATAAGAAACTTCACAATTTCCGGAAAAAAAGTCTTGAGGATATAAAAATAAGATAGCTGTATTATCGAAGTATCAAAACAACAACGATAAACAGATTTATATTGCAAAAATAAAAAGTCAGACTTTCCTTTACAGAGTTTGCTGTGGATAAAGTCCTGAGTTCCACGTAGTTAGATAGGGTATCCGAGGATTCTTGACGTAGATTTCACGAGTGAATGCTATATGTTGTTCCAGTTGATGCAATACAATCCTTGTTGACTATGGATAACTGGATAATGTGATGAAAGCGGCTAATTTTCAAAATATTAAGGAAAGATGATTCACGCAGAAAGTGAACACCCGTAGCGCAAGAGTTCAAAAGTCATTTGTACTGAAAGCTGAAAATTCTTTGTCGTATCATTAGTACTGTTTTTGGAATAAAGCAAAAAATTATTATTATATATGAGTATAAGTTATAGTAATTGCTAATATGGCGTTTGAAGGTGGCCTTTAGCAAAGTACTAAAACACCGTATTCTGTAGCAACAAGGGTTTCAACCGAAGGGGGGAATAACGCAGATATATTGACCCAAAATCCCATATCAATTCTAAAGACCCATGTATGTACTCCCTGTTCTGTCACTATGCCTACAATGCCGCAGTCTATCTCTGAAACTGCACAGTTAAAACCAAGTAGATATGACGCAACATCCATATCCGCAGAAGGCAAGTTTGTGAGATGCAGCAGAACTGAAAAGAAACACTCTAGACGTAATCTAGATGAAATCTAAAGTGACTGACCTACAAAGGAGGACAAGCAGCTAAAAAAATAAATCTGGACATCGATTCAGCAAAGTTGTGCAGGCTGTACAGGGGTATTCAGGCACCTCAAGGTAAGCCACTTCCATTAAGGGTGAGAGTGGGCTTTGCCGAAGAAGCTGAAAGAATACTGTTACTGGCTCGAAGATTAGCTATCGACAGGAGTTCCAACATAAAAATTAGGCATGGTAGGCCCTGGGGTAGCAGGCAAATGGCGAGGGAACCACTGGAACTGATGCCTCAACCTCCATGGTCATGCACGCTCTTCCGGAGCTGGGAACTGGCACTGCTTGTGAAAAACACATGCTTCACGTACAGTAATGCAGATGGCTGTCATCTCGGGTAATCCTTGGTGCTTTTGGAGCAATCTCGGTTTCCCGGCCACCGCATTTCGCTCATCTCACATTGACTAGCTTCTCAAGGCTGTTAAGTGGCAAATTCATCTTCAGGGACAGTCTGCTCCAGTACCTCAACAGTGGTACAAGATCAATGGTAAAATAACAGGACAAGTCCGACGATGCGAAAGCAGGCACCTAACCATTAGGAGGCAGGGAACTTAGGTTAAAATACGTCCCCTTATTTCGGTGACACCACAGCGGCTGCGTCACTTAGAATGATAGCCAGTGCAATCCAAGTGTCTTAACTGGATCCAAGGAAAAAATGTCGACAGGCCGGTTCCATCGAAATCAGCCAACTTGTTCAAATGATAAATCCTCCGCCAACGGCTTACGTAGCGTCAACTACCCCACAAAACGCTGATGTGGTGAGACTATCTGTCTCCCGTCTGCACAGTAATTTGAGAGGGCTGAGAGGAAAAGTGGGTGGACCCAGAAACCTCCAGTGAAACATACACACCAAAATAATAAACTTGACTGAAACCGGACTAATCCTACACTATCGACAACGAAATCAGTATAAGCGATATGGTCCTGGTCAGGTGAGACAGGGATAACAAAGAAATTGACAAGCATTTTAAATGCTCACGTGCAAAAGAACCACCACTCCCTGCACTCCCAGATTCTTATTGATGTCGTTTCACCGTATGGCCATACTTGGCATTTACTGGGTGGCACCTACCGATTACCCACCCGTGGGGCAGGGCACCACCAGCTACTGCCTACCACGATCAAAGGGATACGGTACTTGGGCTATGACTAAATCAGTGTAGCTGGAGACTCCAATACCCATCCCTGAACCTTGGCTCGAGGTATGCTCAGAGACAATTCGGTCGAAATCCGCTACAAACCATTAGAAATGCAGGACTTACTGAGCACCTTAGAGGCGACAGAAGATGGATCCCTAGTGGAAGGTCATCGAAACTGGATTACATTCCAGCTAGTGACCAACTACTTGTCGAAAATGTCCGAATCATGACCCACCTAGAAAGTAGTGCCCATGCGGTCTCAGGGGTTGAACTTGTCCTGCGTGAGCGCTTTCAGTGAGACGCGACGCGACCACGTCTGTGCTACAACAAAGCTGACTATACCGATATATGAAGGCTTTTATCTGATCCAGAATGACCTATTAAACAATGGACTGATCTATCCGTGAAAGAACACTGGGAAGTGATAAAGGAGATTATTCACGCAGCAATCTCCAATACCGTCCCTCTGGCCACGACACAGACGAACAAAATGTCCCCATGGCTAAAGGGAGGTACACAACGTATTCTGCAGGCAAGGTGGAAGGTCTGGTCTACGTGGTGATTATCGAAGAGTCATACCGACCACGTTGCATACCTGGAGCTAAGGAACCGGTGCAAAGTAAGAGTCAGGAGTGACGGAAGGTTATTTCAGGCTAGCATTGCCAAAAAAACTGCAGGCCCTTATGCGACCTCTTCAGGCACTCGATGGACTCGGGTAAACTGTCAAGGGGGTGAAAAAGAGCCGTCCTTTTTCCTACTTTCATGGTTGTGACCAGGCAAAATACCACCAGTTATAAACCAGTAGCGCTACTCACACTGGTATCAAAAGTACTGGAGAGTATATTTGATGATCATATCAGGGAACACCCTGACAGGACTAATAGACTCGATGAAGCACAACATGGCTTCAGAAGGAGTAGATCCTGTATGGCAAAACTACTGTTAGCCCGGAACGATTGAACATCGTGCTGGGATGTGGGCGTTCCAGTTCATGTGACCTTCCTAGACTTTGAGAAGGCATTTAACACAGTTCACCAAGACCTCCTATACAAAGTATGTCAGGCAGGTGTAAGTGAGCCGCCTCTGTCATGGTTGGAGGATTACCTAGATGAAAGGAAATTCTGCACTAAGGTCAACTGAGTCTGATCATCCTGGCACAGCTCGTCATCAGGAGTATCGCAAGGCTCTATCCTGGGCCATTGATGTTTTTGATTTTTATCAATGACCTACCATTCCGTCTAAGGTGCCTGACTCTTCCATACGCTGATGACGTAAAGATTTGGAGAGCAATAAAGTGCCTGAAAGATTCAGGTAGGCTGCAAGTGGACCTAAAACTTCTGAGAGACTGAGCGATGGTCATTTGCATAACTTCCAACCTGAAAAAGTGCAGTGGTGCAACTGCTCACGTATAGGCTGCAGAAAGCAAGTTACACAGTGTGCAACGAAACCTTTGCTTCAAAACGTCGGGGCGTGACTTAGGCCAAGTTCTAACGGAAAAAATGGACACAAGCGTGAATTACACGGGAGATGTAGCGAGAGCATATTCGGCCATACACTCTACACATGGACAGTTAGGTACACTCACTCCTGAGCTCTTGTTGTGGTTGTACAAAACATACGTCAGGATGACTGCCTATAAGATTATAGGCGAACTCAATCACCCTGTCCAATGTCCAGGTCTAACTACACTGGAATTCCCGCCGTCCTCAAAAGACTTTTAGTAACTATGTCCAATAAACAACGCGAAAAACCAGAACACACATTGGTGACTCAATAATCCTTTATTTTTGCACCAATATAGAACCAACCATAAGGTTATTGTACACAAATTCTAAGAGTAAATGTCATAACAATAAATCACAATGATATTTCTGATAGTTTTTCTCCGTCTTCCAACGAACAGCGAACGATGGGACGATAACTAAGGTATCGATGACTCCCGCCAAAATATAGACTTGGGTTTGAACAAACAACCATGAATTGATCGTTCAATCTTCAACTACATTGACACACCAAAACGAAGGAATGCTTCCACATATGGGCTTCCTAGTGGGAATCCCAAAAGGATGGCTTGCCAGAGGTCAAAGACTCGAGAGGCTCTCCCACTTCTTTTCACTCTTGATGGGCAGCTTTAGCTACGATACCATACATGAACGGCTTTAAGCGAAGACTGGACAGTCGTGCAGCGACACAAGGACTGCGTCCAAGCAGTCCAAGCAGCATACACTATTGATGGGTAGATACATAAACTCGCGGTTTTACTCCACATTCTCTCTTGCCTTGCCCTCCTGAATACTCCAACTGTTACTTCCCTAGTGCCTATTATTATTATGGATATATATATATATATATCAATTTCAGGCTTCATTAGCTGTCTGTTTGAGTTTTCTTTCTTTTTCTTTTTCTTAGTCAACATAACCCACAGTAATTATATCTGTTATTACTATTACTTCCTTATCTTTGACAACACAGAATGACTAACGTATGAAAAATTCAACTCCATTCATAGTAGCAACACGGTCTTAACACATCGTACACTACAAACTACATATAATTAATCCCAGAAGCAATCCTTTTCGAGTCAACTTAAGCTATGACAGTGGATTAGCGAGACGAACTTCTCAGAAGTTCTCAGAGGACCACGAATCTTTACCCCACAACCAAGAAGCACGAATAAATCAAATTAGTTTACTCTAGCTCGTAAAGAACGATATTGGATATTGAATGATATGACCTTGACGGAAGTAACATTTTAAAGTTTCAACATGTCAGGTGTGTAAACCCGTAATAATTTGGTTATTTTTGCTTCATATGACTTCAGAAACCCACTTATTCTAGGAGATAAAATTTAAAATTAAACTTACAGATAAAATCGGCAATCTTGTGGTTATCTCACGTGTTTGAATTTGGACAGACTATAAATGTGTTTGTAAATGTTAGTTAACAAATATACATATGTGCAAATGTATATGCACAGCGTGTTTTAAGAATAAATCACTTTCCTCCTTCTGACGGAGACAGTTTGTCATCTGAATGTAATGTCCGAAGAGGATGTTTTTTCTGCGATGAACCCTCCTAAACAGTCTTGCCATTACAATCAAAACATAACATTTTACGTTAATTGTTAGGATATTAAATAATTTTTAGTTGGGATGTGGGGAAATTAAGAATATAAACCGAAATATTGACCTGAGTCACATGGTCTATGTAACTGACTACTTCTTTTGCCTAGTTCTGGACATGTGGATTTCAGGAGTTATTAATTCTGAGGTCTGATGGTGATTGTTCTGTCCAAACCTTTTTTTTAGCATACACTCCCATATATATCTCTTGTTTGGCGTCATTGCAGTTGAGAAATGCTTTTTATACACGTTTAAGTACTGTGTATTTAGAAAAATGTGAATTAATATTGCATTTAAATGTTCTGTTCTTGTAATGTCAATGTGAGCGAGAGTAGCTGTTGTTACTTGTCTTAAAATAGTTGGTCTACACAATTTGATTTATTTGACCAAGTAATAGTTGTAGTAATCACGTCTTCACCCTACAACAAGTTCTAAATCACAGACATACTGGCTTCTGAAACTTACAATAATTTTTGACTTGAAGGCACATTTAACTGGAACTGAAAAATATCAGTGTTTGGCTGTGAAAGGCCTTGAAAGTATACTAATTCAAACATTTCAAACTTATCCAGTTGTGTGTGAGAGCTCATGGGACGTTATCTTGTGGTGACACATCATATTTTCTGTCATGGATTTATCGTGTTTTAGTTATTTAATTTCATTGTGCACATACTGATGCATGCTGTAGATCGACTTGGACGTCTGAATCTACTTATTACCAGGTGGCTGGCAGAGTTAGTGTAGAAAATTTCCACACTGATTTCAGATTGATGAAGGTGTATCTTGCCTTTCTGATCCTGGGTGGCTATGACTTCATCCGTTTCGCCTTTGGTAGAAACCGTGCTTCCTAGATAAGTGAGGGAAATGACGTCTTTCAAATTTCTCCCGTTGAAGGTGATTGGTGCTGGTTGTTGTTGTTGGTTAGTTCGTTATCTTCGTCATCTCCATCTTCTCTATCTTCAGCTGGATTCCTCCAGTACACCACAATTTATATTCATTAAAAATTATCAACAGTTGATTTCTAATCTGCTGGAACCACTGTAATTAAGATTTCCTCAGTGTTAACGATTCTCGAAAGAAGTGTCTGTAAATTGACAACTCTTCTCATTTCATGCAATTAAGAATAACACATGAGTCAGCAACAAAGAGATCCCCTCTTTTCGTAATTTCACTTCATAGCTGTACAGTTATTTAGGTGGGGTTATATATTCAGTGTGCAATGACAACAAAGGTCCTTTTCAGTTGGTAAAGTTGTCAATCTACATTGTGTTGTTCTTGATTGGGAACTCTGTTCAACTGTACTTCTCTTGCCTAGGCACTTAGCTTCCAACCAATGGGTCGCTAATCTGAACCCCGCTCCACCCACTGAGATTTATACAACCAGATAGTATAATTATCCCTCACTTGATAGGCGTGACTCATTGCCAACATTCTTGAACGGATCGCTTTATGAAATCATTCCTTCAGGAAAGTTTATATAGTTTATGAGTAATGTTTTGATAGGTTGATTAAAATTGTCAGGCCATTTTATCATTAAAGTTTCAGGATAAACAAATGTATACACACGCATACTCCAATATTACTCGTTACTTAAGACTAACACCAGTGACTACTAATCGTGACTTTTAAACCAAGTACGATTGTATGAGAAGATTGACTATGATTTTTTTATCGGTTTCTGAAGAATGTTGGATTAAAACACGGCTGTGTGAAATGATGGAATTGTTTTATTTCGTCAGGATCTTTGTAATTAATTTCTAAGTGTTCACTATTCATTTGGTATCCAATGCTTAAGAATACAGTAGCCGCTTGATCAAAACTCACATCGAATAAATGTTACTCTTAGGCGAATAATCATTGTTTACAGGGATCTGATTGATTACATGTCTGATCATACTTTAACATTAGCTAGAGAACTATTGGGAGTACTAGACAACTGTTCCGTACGCACCCACTCCCAGGTTTTGAACCCAAGGCCTTCGGGTTATAATGGTGAGCTCGTAGAGCATTCAGCCACTTACTGGGATCGAGTCCAGTGGTCCATAAATTTCAACTTTTGCCAATTTGATATAAATACATAGCTCAACAGCCAACTTATGTGGTAAGCGAGTAACTGATCTCTTACCTGATTTAGTGGGACAAAGTAGTACATGTGGTATAAGAGCTTGTCTCGTGATTGGAATTTCCTGGGCTAGAACCCTGGGGGTGGGTGCGTACTGATGGAAAGTTCCGAACCAAGAAGGAACAGTGTTATCCAGTACTCCAAATAATGGTTCCTTAACTGATGTCAACTCGTGATCACACCTGTAACCAACTGTTTAATTCCGTATGAGAATTGTTAACTCTCTACCAATTATATTAAAGTTTGAGCAGGAAAATCGTAATTCTTCTACGTTTAGACAGTTTCAACAAGATTTACATGCTTACCTTTCAAAATCTTCACTATATTCTGGCTTAACTACTCCTCTTCAGCGCTAGTCGAGTCAGTAGTTTCAAAACTAGAAGTTTTGTTGTTGTAAATTCAGCTTTCAGTAGAACGGTCCGATGGACTTGTTCTAAATTCAAGTACTATGCAGTAATTTAGTGTGTGTGGATTAGATCATGAAAGTCAACTACACTACCTAGCATTGCTGCATGACGTAGTGGAAAAACGTTTTCAACCAACTGTTTCGAAACTCCAAACACAATGATTAGTATTATTTTCTACTCAGTCAACTCATGAGCCTGTTTTTCAGAATATTCATACAAAAAATGTAGTTGTCACGTGATATTAAAAATCCATAGTTTCCTAATGTTTCTCCTCTTTTTACGATACAGGATTTTCTTTCGGCAAGCCTGCGACTACCACTACTACCAGTGCTTTTTCTTTTGGTTCATCACCATTTGGAACATCAGCTGGAGTGAAACCAGCTTTTGGAATCGGTGCAACTTCGAATACCTTGTTTTCTCCAACTGTAACCTCTAATGCAAGTTCTACTCCGTCGGCATCCTCACTCTTTCAAAGCCCTTCTTTATCTTTGACTTCCACAACTGGGAATGCTGCCACTACGACCACTCAAAGTGGCTTTGGTCTGCCATCGTTCCCTAGTTTAGCGAAGCCTTCAACACCAGCTTCTGGTTTTGGGCTATCTACAAATACCAGTTTTGGATTAAATGCTAGTCTTACACCATCAACTCAGTCAGGAGGTTTCGGTCAATTATTTACAAACCCTGCATCAGCTCTCATGAAACCAACAACAACAACAGCAGCAACAGGAACAACCAGCAGTTTTGGAAGTCCATTCTCTTTCGGGTCAACAGCGGGTGCTGGTGTCACTTCTCAAAATGCAACAACTACCGCGCCAATAAGCTTTGGCGGTCTGCCTTCGAGTAACCTGTCTACAAATGCTCCTAGCATCTCCTCAGCAGCGAATGCTTCTGCTGTCAGTCAACCTGCAACCACTAGTATTTCTTTTGGTTTTGGTCTATTATCCAACCCGTTATCATCGACAACAGCTGTAAGTACTGCGACACCAGCAACAGTAGTAGCGCCTACACCTTTTAGCTTTGGAAAGCCTGATCTATCTGCGACGGCTACGTCTACTGCTGCTTCAGGATTTGGAGTATCATCATTAGGAATTATGTCTGGTACATCAACTGCAACATCTATCACAACAGCAGCATCGTTAGGCGGCATTACATCATCAGTGACTTCTGTGGCTGCTGCTACTTCTGCCACTTCCGTCCCATCTGTAACCACGGCAACTGCTACATCGATTACTTCTACTCCACAAAATTTAACCTACAGTCAATTAGAAGATTTAGTTAACAAATGGACTCTTGAACTTGAAGAGCAAGAACGATATTTTCTTGATGAAGCCGATCGTATTAACCAATGGGATCAAACATTGATTAAAAATGCAGAGAGCCTCACTTCAATGTATGAAAAAGTAGAAACTTGTCAGGGTGAACAAAGTCGTCTGGAACAGGTAGGTGAAGCGCTTGTTTTTGGCTGATTGTGTGTGTGTGTGTGTAATTTAGAATTCGACTTAATTGAGTGATATTGTTAATATAAACCAGGCACTTTTGTTGTTTCGAGGACAGAATCGGGTAGCATAGATCGATTGGTTGACAGCTGTTTTCTCATGCCATTATTGTTTGTGACTGTTTCTTGAAAGGATATTAAAATTGTTCCTGTGCTCAAATCATCAAGGGAATCAAGTGTTAAGTTTAGACCTATTTCTATTATCTCACTTTTTTTAAAAATAATGGGGTAACTGCTTATACTTAACCTTGAACCCTCATTAAAAGCTTTTAATGACCCTAAACGATTTGCTTATCAACATAGTAGGTGTGCTTTAGATGTCGCTGTTGTTTTATGTAATAATATTGTCTCTAGTTTAGACAGAGGTTTTTACGAGTTGACCACGGATTGATATCAGTTAGAGAACCATTGAAAACCAGTACTGGACAGCTGTTTCACTCAACTAGTTCGGGAATCATCGGCAGTACGCACCCACCACCAAGGTTCGAACCTAGGACCTTCCGGTTACAAGGCAAGCTCGTATACCATTCAGCCACTGAGACCCGATTCAATGGCTAGCTCATGAATTCTAACTTCTACCAATTCGTGATTTAGCGCGACCCCAACCATTGTCGTTGGTGGGACATCCATACACACACGTGACATCTAATTGGACCTCACTGGTCACGACTTCTCACTAGAGCTCCAGGAAACTCCATCCTGCAGCAAGTCACTAGCGAGCATCAAATTAATTTTCTATAGTTCGGTTTGCATGTGTTAGTTATGTTTTTACGAGTTGACCACGGATTGACAGGGGTGCCAAATCTGTCCGGTGTGCCTTCCTTGATTACACATCTTCCTTGAACACCGCAATGACCTAATCAAGCTATACTGGCTGAGACTTATGTCTCTTGAGGTTCTACCATGCCAGGCAGGTTGTTTGGATAGCGGTTAAACAAAAAGCAGCTACCCAATCCAACATCATGTCCAATACAAAATTACAAAATTTCATGCCGGATCGGCCGTGGCCCGGATTAACAACGACCGCGCTTCCTGCTGCCGTGTCACAGGGCGGGAGTGATAAATCTGCTACTGAGACACACCAAACAAAAAAGAACGAACAAAAACAGGCCGCGTGTGACCGGCCTCAAGCAGTTGTCCCCTGGGCTCTGCGGTCACGCAACCAACTTCCACGGTGTGGGCAGCCGGGAAGTAACAATCGCCCTCACAATCCGAAATGCACACGAAACCTCTCTATTACTCACTCATCTTTGTCTTCATCTTCATCTCTATCATCTTGCCTTCCTTCCACTGATGCAACTCCTCGACTTGATAGCTCTCCACTTCCTCTCCACTCTGCGTCCACTAAAAACGATGGAAGCCAAAAAACCACCACCGACAGCCTCTTAAAGCCGCGCCACCAATTTCATATAGGAGCTCTTAATGTTAGGACACTTTGCCAAATAGGACAACAAGCATCACTAGCCAAGACCCTGGCATCACGAGCCATTGATGTATGCTGTGTTTCAGAAACACGCATACAAGACCCAAGTGTGGTTATTCACCTAACCCCACCTGGCCAACAGGTTGAATCTGCAAAATTCACCCTGAGGGTGTCAGGAGATGCCACAGCTAGTTCACGAGGATTAGCTGGCGTAGGGATAGCTTTGAGTACTAGGGCAGAAAAGACATTGCTTGACTGGATCCCGGTAGATAGCCGAATGTGTGCTGTCCGCCTGAACGGATCAGTAAGAAGGAGGAAGGACTGCACTACTCGCCGATGCCTTTTCGTAATCTCCGCCTACGCCCCCACTGACTGCAGTTCAGATGAAACGAAGGATGAGTTCTACCAAAAGCTGTCTAGTTTGGTGGAAAGGCTAAACGCTCAGACATAGTCGTTCTAGCTGGTGACTTTAACGCTCAAGTAGGGAAATTGTGTCAATCTGAGAAGGATGTCGGTGGCACCTATGGAGCTCCGTGCCAGCGAACCGACAACGGTGACCGTCTCCTACAGTTCTGCTCTGATAATCATTTGTTTCTTGTAAGCACTAACTTTAAACACAAGGAGAGACACTGTTTGACTTGGAGACCCCCTTCATCAAACCAACGCTGGACACAAATAGACCACATAGCAATAAGCTATCGTTGGCGTGGGTCGGTAGGAGATTGTCGCTCCTTCTGGAACACGTGCGTAGATACCGACCATGCACTGGTCCGCGCTCGGGTGTGCTTACGACTGAACGGACGTAGGAAACAGCTGGCGGTAAAACCATCACGTCCCCAGCTCGATCAGGAAACTAAATCCGTATTTGAGGAAGAACTAGCTAAACACATATCTGTGTTCGACAGCTGTGCTCACCCTGAAGAAGCTTGGAAAAATATCCAGGCAGCCATAGATACAGCTGTAAAAGCTGTGAATAAGGTAAACCCAAAGGTGAGTAAAAACCACTGGATCTCCACCGCCTCATCCGAACTGATAGATGCTAGAAGACTTATTCCGGCGAGCTCCGAATTCAATGAGGAGCGAAAGCTGCACAAGAGGAAACTTACGAAAAGTCTCCGCAAGGACCGTGAACAGTGGTGGGCGACAAAAGCCAAAGAGATGGAGAAAGCTTTGAGGATAGGCAACACCAGGCAACTCTTTGGACTCATCAGGGAAACGGGTGGGAGAAGACAAATCATTAGTGAGACAATCTCGGAAAAAAATGGCACTATAATTAGCTCACAGGATAGACGACTGGATCGTTGGAAAGAGCATTATGAGGAGCAGTTTAATTTGCCCACAGCCACGCTCAACCTTCCGAGCATCCAACACCTCCCTGAATGGGATATAGACACAGGTCCTCCGTCACTAACTGAGGTTACTAAAGCTGTCACCAATCTGAAACTAGGCAAAGCAGCGGGACCTGATGGAATGACGCCAGAGGTATTTAAGTACGGTGGAGACAGCTTACTGTCCGGATTAACTGAGGTACTAGGCAGCGTCTGGGAATCAGAAGAAGTCCCATCGGGTTGGTGTAAGTCACTGATTATCCCCATATACAAGAAGGGAGACAAGTCTTCCTGTGATAATCACAGAGGGATTAGCTTGACTAATATAGTATCTAAAGTCTTAGGCTCAATAATCATGCGTAGACTGAGTGGTGCTCGGGAAGCACAAACACGAGAGAGCCAGGCAGGCTTTAGACCAGGAAGAGGGTGTATTGATCATATCTTCACCCTCCGACAGATTCTAGAACATAGGCATTCCTACCGGCGTCCAACAGTCATTATATTTCTTGACCTAAAGGCAGCATTCGACTCTGTCGATCGGGAAGTTCTCTGGAGATGCTTGGCTGTAAAGGGAATTCCAAGAAAATATATTGCACTGATTAAGGCACTCTACTCGTACTCATACAGCCAGGTGAGGGCTTACGGCGAGCTGTCATCTGAACTGATGACGACCAGTGGTGTCCGTCAAGGATGCCCATTATCTCCTTTTCTATTCAACTTCATCATAGATGTGTTAATGGACTTAACCCTAGGTGACTTCAGCGACTCAGGGATTGACTTGCTACCGGGGAATAATCTCGTTGACTTGGAATATGCAGACGATATAGTCCTTCTAGGCGAAGACGCTGACGAAATGCAGAGTCTTCTAAACACCTTGAGCCGCAATCTACGAATGTTTGGCATGCGATTCGCTCCCGCCAAATGCAAGATGATGTTACAGGACTGGACTACATCGACGCCTAGTTTAAAAATAGGAAGTGAAGTGGTAGAGCACGTTGACCGCTTCACTTATTTGGGAAGTACCATCAGCCCCAACGGGCTGATCTCTGACGAAATCTCAGCACGAATACAAGGGGCTCGTTTCGCATTTGTTAGTTTACGCCGACTCTGGCGTAGACGAGATGTTCGACTATCGACCAAAGGGCGGGTGTACTGCTCATCAGTCCGCTCCGTCCTCCTTTATGGTTGTGAGACCTGGCCACTGAGAGTGGAAGACATGAAAAGACTAGCTGTCTTTGATCATAGGTGCCTGCGTTCTATTTCCCGTGTAAAGTGGCATAATAAGGTGAGCAACATGGAGGTTAGGCGTAGAGTTCTAGGTAAACAGGGGAAATCAATCGACGAAGTCGTGAAGCTACAAAGACTGAGATGGTTAGGACATGTGTTACGTATGCCAAGCCATCGCCTCCCTCGACGAGCAATGTTAGCGGATATAGGGTCAGGCTGGAAAAAAGCTAGCGGCGGTCAAACAAAAACTTGTCATCAGTCAATGAAATCCACAACAGTTGGTCTAAGCCACGTAGGAAGGTGTAGACTTCCAGGCTGGGGTCCTCGGGACGGTAAAAATCTATGGTTGGAAACAATTGGTGACATGGCTCAAAATCGTTCTCAGTGGCGCAGATGCATCCACTCCTTGTGACTTATGATTTCCAATGAAACTGTTTTGTTCTTCTTTATTACTCCTTTGTCTCACACCTCTGCTCACTGTTTCTATTATGCTTTTCTTGTACTTTCTTCTCTTGCTTCGCGTGCTACACGGAATGTGGCGACTTGAACTTCCGCACATTTGTGCAAAGTTCTATGTCGAAAACAGACAGACAGACAGACATCTGCCTTCGACCCTGTATCTAGACCTCTCTTTAAAAAATGCTTGGTGCGAATCAAGCAGGGTGCTGAACTAATAGGTGGTTGCATTCGGTGGCACAGCGGTTAGGACTTTCGCCGACCATGCACTTGGTTCCAGGTTCGATCCCCTTGCCGACCCACACCTGATATCCATGGTCAGCCTGCAAAATTTGGGCTACGGATATCACACTTGCTGAAAATTTCATACTTGTACCAAAAAATACGGTGTGGAATCTAGCTATAATAAAAAAAAGAAACCGGTACACTGTGTATGATGGGAAGTCCTCTACTGCTTTTCTTATTCTAGCTGGTGTTCCTTAAGTAGCTGTTCTTCCTCCTTTTTTGTGT